CTCTCTCTCTCTCTCTCTCTCTCGCACACACACACACACACACAAACAAAAACAAACAAACAAAAACAAGTGTATATTTCCATGTTCAAGCGGTAGATTCATTCGATGTAAGTGAAATGACGCCAGCCACGACGCTGAAGACTTACCCATTCTCACTCTCTCTCTCTCTCTCTCTCTCTCTCTCTCTCTCTCTCCCCGCTATCCCGACATAGACAGGGAGAGAAAAAGAGAGAGACACGTACATTCTTCCATATTTATTATTATTATTATTTATTTATTTTTCGTTTGCACCGAACATTTCGCACTCCCCCCTTCCTCCCATCCCGTCTTCCTTTCACTGCTTTCCCATCTTCTCCTCCTCGTCTTCTCCCCTCGCCATCCCTCCTGCCTCCGCCTTCGGTCCCCCTGCACTGCCGCAGCGTAGCGGCAGCGGGTCCACTTGTGTTTGTAAATGCAGACCAATCGTTGGACTCCATAACCATGGGATAGAGATAGAGCCGATAGACTGATCATTCGACTGCATATTACCATGGAAGAGGAGAAGGGAACACATCAGTTCCAGTGACACAAATATCAGCAAAGTCACTGGCTGCCCTACTTTCCACTACCCAACGCACTGCCATAACCCGCAAAGTTTTCAGTCTGCAAAGCCTGACTTTTTTGCTGCGCAAATTCATAATCCGTAGAAATCCTCCATTTGGACTGAGATTCTGAGATTGCTTTGAAGATGAGTTGTCTTGTATGAATCTGTCTATCCCCAAGAGTTTTGGATTGGGCAAGTGCTTGCCGTACTCACGTGCCTGACCATGCTTTGATCTGGGCATAGGAGGAGGACTAATATGTGAATGCTGAAGAGGGCTAATGTGTGAATGCTGAACTTCAGCGAGTTGGCTACTGCAAACAGGTATGTAGATCCCTGTGGGGATGAGTTCGTAAGTTTCCAAACCAGTAAGCCTACCTGAGCGCTATGACTGGATTTCAGCTCTATGGAAAATTTGTTTGCAATTTGGAAGCCTAGACAGGAAGGACTGAACTTGGCGTAGACTAGGGAGTGTACGGACAAAAGTAGGAAAGACAGGAACAGATGGGCAATAATATTGCAGGGACCTGGTAGGAATTTTCCAGCGAATTGGAGGGGGCTGCTGTCTGATAGGCTAGGAACAGGCGTAATATGGTACCACGTTGTACCTTGGGTACTAAGAGCTAGATTCATTGGGGACACTTACAGGCTGCGATGATGTTCCCACACAAAAGGAAAAAGTGACAAAGATGAAAGGAAAAAATCGACCCGCCTGACCTGGCCCTTTGATATGATAGATATCATATCATATATACCCCTTACGGGATTTGAACCCGTGTCTTCGCCATGAAAAGGTGATGTCCTACACCCCTAGACGAAAGGGACAAATGAATGTGCTTGTAGCTCAATTGGATAGAGCACCAAACAACGGATTTGGCGGTTGAAATAGCTCACCGGGTGAAACTAGGAGCACGAGAAGATGAGAATGCTTGGCCTCTCAACTTCCGTGAACAGGCACAGCCAGTTCATTCCCCCACTCACCTGGCAGCAATGCTGCTTCTCCGCTAAGAGGAGAAGCGGTGGAGCATGAGGAAGTGCAAGAGTAGCACGAGGGTGAAGAAGACCTCCATGGCTATATGGAGGAAGTCACCCACATTGGGCTACGGAGGCAAGTAGGTGACTTCAGAAGGTGAATAGGAGGACTGAGGCGGCAATCGACATGAAGACGACGTTTGGCTATGGCTGCTTATCAAGACTTCCAGTTGGGTAGAGAACATCAGTGAGGCATGGCAATAGAGACAGAGCACCAGGTGCTGTGTTATCCACTGCACATCCCCCCTGAGTAGTAAGTTGTCTGTCCACCATTAATTAGCAGGGCTGCCAGCTAAAGGAGGTAGAGAATTGCAGAGCGAAAGGTAGATTATTTCTTAAGAACTGTTCAGGAAATTTCATCAGACGTCGATTCTTCCTTCATTCATGATTAGACTAATTATTGGTTAATAAAGATATCTGAGGGAGACGATGGTGTGGCAAGTTGCATGCGAGATTCATTGGAGTATCCTTGCGTTCTTCTTCTCTCCTCATTCTGTTCTCTTTTCTCTCATCCACTTCTTTCTTCAGTATCAAATAATGGCATTGTCTCAGATTTGAGGTTTGTATCTTGAATGGGTCAAGATCATAGCAACACATACATTGTGGCATGCCAGGGGCCTCCCGCATGGGCTTGGGGCCTGCACATGGTTTGTGCATGCCCCTCAGTTGCCTAGGCCCTTGGTATGGCCTTGTACTGGCCGAGATGGCCACAGTCACCGTAAGGCCCCTAAGTGAGTGGGTTCCTATACAGGCATGTGTGTCTTCCCTCTGTTCTGAACTTTGTCTGTTCTAACTTCAGTTTTCCTCAGCTTCCTTTGTTTTCTCTTGCTGGTTGCTTCATATTTGCTTGGTGCCAGTGCTGTTCTGTGTTGTGCCAGTTCGTTTTGTCCCAGTCGCGATTGTGTTTTCGGGGCTTTTGTCCAAACAGCAACAGGTTTTCCCTGTTCGGATCTCTTCATGACGAATCAGCTAATCCTACACAACTGGATAAGGGTATGTTAGTATGTTTTTCTGACGACCTCCACCCTCATTTGCCTAAAAGCTGAAGTGTAAGGACCTGCCCAAACACGAGCTGTTGCATACTTCAATGAGTATGGGCAGAACCAAAGATCAACCAATGTAGGATGAGCATATATGCAGCGGAAGTCTGATAAACGGACTGACTCACATAG